GGCGCCCCGCGCCGCGGCGGCAGCCCGACGAGCCTCTACATCCATTTCAGTGGCTATGGAAAAATGTAGGTGCACGCGGGGTTATTGACCCGTGGCTTTCATCGGGCCGACACTCGCCTATCCTCTAACGGGTGATACGAATCGACACGCGCAGATTTACGATCTCATAGTGGCTTCTGTTCGCGGGCCCGCGGCACGTCCTCCTCATTCATCCTCCTTCGCATTCTGCCTTCTTGCGGAAAACAATGAAAGCCGCTAGTAAGATATTTTCCATGAAATTCGCTCGCGCGTCGCGTCTACCCGTCCACGCGTGAATACGATTGGAACCGAAAACAGCTCTCGACTCTCAGGAAGCGAAAAGGGATTACAGTTATAACGTACAGAAGCTGACTTAAATCCACTGTCGATCAACGATATTTTTGTAATAATACCGCTTCACCCATACAAAATTCTGACGACACTGTTAACAATTCGAACAGATATTTACATACGTGATCAATGTTTTACAATGAATTTGCTGGAAGAGTCGAAGCGAGTTTGCTCGAACGCTGGAAAAGAAATCGCGTAGTCTACCTGGAGAACGTTTTCGTAGCTCATCGCGCGCACGTGCGCCCCTCTAATCAAATAAATCGTAACCGTCGAAGCTTGGCGTTCTCCCAAGGCGCGGCCGTTCCCCTTTTTTGCATAAATCTGTCCAGCATATTCCGTTCCAATTACGCCTTCGGATTAATCAGATTTTGAGGCGGTAGACACTCGCCGCTTCAGAGTCCTGCGTTTAGCTCGTTATTTGCAATTAACTGCACCAATAGGACGCACTCGAGGGTGGTACCAGGGTACAAAATCCGAGTGCGAAGGCCGAGCTTGCACAAACAACAAGATGGCTGCCGACTTCACCCCTGCACACCCTCGTCCCGCGAGTGAAAGCTTGCCAGCCGCCCTCCACGTCCTCCTCCGGTCCCTATCTGCCAGAGAACCTACGTCCCACGACGCCAGCCTGCTCCACGGACGAAAGGGTTGTTTTGCAGGAGCGCGTATCTCGTCAATTCTTTCCGAATGTCTGGTCGTTTGAAATATTGGCCGGCCTGACCTGGAAAGCGTATTCGGTCCTTCCCTTTCGGTGCATGCGATCGTTAAAAATAACGAATATCCGCGATCAGGAATCGATCGCCGTTCCTTTTCTTCTCTCTTCTTTTTTTTTATTCTCATTTTTCTCCTACCATTGCTTTGGGCGTCGATTAGACTTGGACTGTTTCAATGGAAATACTCACGGTCCCACAAGTAATAGGATAACGTTTAGTTGATTGTTCAGTAAGTCGTGCGAGGTTCGAATACTGGTCATTTTTATACTACATTAATACATCTTCATTGGTTATATCCGTATTTACTTAAGAAAGATATTTAACCACCGTCTAATTTCGTTTCACTGGAACAAATTTAAGAGCCATCTTCGAGAGCGACCCTCCCCGATATTCGAAAGTTCGAGGTTATTAGTGCCAATACGGGTTCTCGACGAGATGTCCGTATTCTTATTCTTATCTAAGTATCCTCATCTTCTTAGGCTGTACGTGAAACGCATTAGTTATTTGCGATGCTTATCGCTCGGCATGGCAGCAGGGCGTGTCTTATCTCCATCCGAGGTTATTCTGCTAATTGGGGAAATCTTTTTAGTGGTCGCGCGACCGAACATTAAGCTCCTAATTACGATCCACCGGTGGCAAAGAAGGCAGATACTACCCTCCCCGTACCGTCGATGATTTATGCCGGACAATACACGATATCAAATCGAGAGCTTGTGTGAACAAAAAACCAAAGATGGGCGGAGAATTGTCTGGTGACGATTGATGGCTTGATAAAATTTGTAGTATTATCTATCCTCTGTCTCGTTATTTTTAATTCGATATAAGGAATAGAAAATTAATTGCTGTGGACTGACGTACGCCAGTAAATATTTTGACATTATTGTCGAAGAGCAATACGTGACATTTTCGCTAAAAAAAAATTAATCGAACGAGAATCACATTCGAATGAATGCGGGATGTTATACACGCGGTAACACGCGAGTCAACGAGGCGTGATCAAAATTCACGAGCGAATGTGCGCGATCGAACCTCGTGTTGCGAGGGCAGATTTCATGACAATCCGTCGTGCCATGTGCGTATGAATACCAAAACTGGAACGGGTGTCGGGATCGAAAACTGTTCCGCGGCGTGTGAAGTCTACGTCCGTGTCGAGCAGCTCGTTTGTCACTTGTAATTTGCACAGATTGCCGGAAGTCGAAACTATCATGCTCTGTGAGTGAATTCTGCGACGCGGACGGGGTTGATTTTCAAATTACGGCTCGAATCGGAAGGATGCGACACACACCCGTGTAAACATCAATTTGTTTGAAAAAGATCTGCAGTGTCGCTGATGATCGCCTGGAAAATTGTGTGACTCAATGGGAACGCGTAAAAAGCGTGTTTCAACATTGAAATAATACGAATTAAAATGTTTCCCAATAGTCAATTCATCATTGAACTGAGCGTGGACGTTCGTTAAGATTCATTTTCCACGGCTGTCTCACCGTGAAATCGCGATTCGAATTTTTGTCGATTACTACGTATCCGAACAGCGGGATCCACGTGGCCGCCGCCGCCAATTAGTGTACGTACAATCGGAAGAGGAAGAGACGACGAATGCCGATAGATCCTCTACAATTAGCTGCGTCGGCCAATCACCGTCCCTTGTACTCGACAGACGAGGACACAAAAGAAAAGCGGGAGGAAAGAGGTCGGGAGGAGTGCAACACGGCTCGGATGGCTTTTAAAAAAAAACTTGGCAACACGGCCGCCTTTCATTAGTCCTGCCTGCCGCTTCGGCCAGTGTCTCTTGAGAAGCTTAAGAAGAGGGTTGCCTTGGCGTCACTACCCCGTTTAGGTCAGTGGCGGCATTAAGGCTTAGTAAGCCCCTGTACGCCAGTTTAGATTCACTCTTGCGCCAGAATTCTAATACACTTGACTTCTAACCTGACGAAAAGTTCTCGATGATACCCAACGATGAAACAAAAGTGATTCACAAAAATTGTCTTTCAGTTCTGACACTCGTTTACGTATCTACACACAATATTTTGTACGTGAAAAATGTTCTTTCCCTTTAATTTACAGCATGTTGAAATAAATTGAAGAATGAGCTTAATCCCGCAAAATCCAATCCAAATGAATATCCACGGTAGAAGGGTATCTAATTAAAATCAAATCGATTCCCGTTTCTGTTTCCAATTATCAATCACCCACAACGGTTCTTTATCGTGTATAATTAAAATGTACGAGCAGCGGACAAATTTATTTCGATGGGAGAATTTAATTTGAATTCGGGTTTCGTGTAATGGCAATTTACGTTTAAATACTCATCCATTACACCACAACGTTTATATTACTTTATCTACATCAGTACAAGCGAATTTATACGTACATCCAGCTTATTAGATCGTGCATTATCGCATACCGAAATCAATTACAAAATTATAATTAAGTTTCAGCGAAACGAGTTTCATTATATCAAACTCGTTATAATAAACGTGAAAATAGCTTTAGAGATGAATTTCAAAGTAAGTATAGTTTCGATCGTGTTGTCACCGTGTGTCGCTACAAGATGTTAAGTCGTAAAAACGGAAATCCCTTTTGTATGCTGATAGAAAGTTTTACGGATCTTCTTGATACTACGAAGAGGGAGGCATGGATAAGCAGCGGGAGACAAGCAAAGGAGTTCGCGAGAGGCGCCTTAACGAAATTTTGCTCGCACTTGGATGCACGGCCTGGCAAAGTGACACTTCCACGGCGAGTAATCGAGTTATTCGACGTCTTATCGAGACCCTTTCTCGCTCTCACCCTCTCGTCGCGCGTCGCGGCGTCCCTCTCTCGTTCGCTAAACCCTCTTCTTTTCTTCGCCCTCTCCCTCCGTCCCGGTCGTCGTGATCGCTTGCCAGGTTGCTTCGACGATTTGCTGATTACTGTCGCGAGGAGAAAAGAGCTAAAGCGTTGGAGCCTGTGGATCGGGCGAAAAACGAGACAAGCGGATCTGTCTCCCAATTTCTTCCTCTTCTTTTCTTTACTGCTGATGCTGCTGACAGTGTGTCGCCGAGAGCGTAGTTATGCCAGTAACGCGAAGGTGCAATCATCCGGTATTAACTCGTTAAGGTCGCAGCGAGACCAAAAACTGTTCGCTCTTTCCAGTCCCGCTTAATTGTTTCGTTCTGCCAAATTAGTGAAGAGAATGATACACGGTACTTGCACGTCCTTGTTTCCTTTCAAATTCAAAACTGAGAAACCGGGGAACAATTTAGAACTCAATGACAATGTTACAAATACATATATAGTCCGGAGTACCCCTGGCATTACTTTCAGCATTTGAAACGATGTTGCGTAGCATTCTAGGGCATCCACGCGCATCCGCGAACCTTCTAATAACGTTACGTAGTTCCTAAGCCATCTCGTTCCGGAATTTAAGCTTCATAGTAATATATAAATGGTTTTACACCTCATCGAACAAAATTGTACTGCGTTAATGATCCAGCTCGAGCTTCATCTGGCTATGCATAGCATAAACTACTTTAATCTACACATAATAATTGCGTACTTTGAATTATAATCTAAAATGATGTGCTAATAACATAGCAAATGCTCTAAATCTGCCGTATTTGGCGCCAGCGCCTGGTCTGATCATGAACGGCATAATCTACTTCACGTGTCACGTACTGAATAGTATACGACTTACGGTCTATGTTTTTAATCTGTATATATCAATCTCTCTACAACTCTCGAGTCGTCAATAATTTTCCACTGGCACAGCTGTATCGAATTCGTACGTGTGTATATTCTAGGTTCTAACAACTGACTTCTCTCATCGTATCTATCATTGAAAGCTGCGCCCGTGGAAATCGCAACCGCATTCCGCGGTGAGATAATACACCCGTGCATACGAGGAAACTGTTAATTCGCGGATTTTTCCGATAGAAAACTACAGCGATGCGAATCACCGATCTGCGGCGCCCGGCTGAAGCAACGAACAGCGTAACCGACACTCGCAGTAAAAAAAGAAACGGATCGCTGGCGGCCAACCGAGTTGTAACCCGGTTTTCGGAAACAGCGGGACCAGCAATTTCTCGAGGTAATCGCCGGGATCCGAGGAAGAAGCGCGACGGTGTGACGCAATCCGCGAGAACATAGCGAGATAGAGAGAGAGAGAGAGAGAGAGAGAGGGAGAGAGTGAGATCGGACTCAGAACGGGTTGAAACAGCTGCGGGGACCCGGCCGCCGTCGTCGTCTAGTTTGGTTCGTTACATGACAGATTATAACGGGTGACCCAATTAAAATCTGCCTGTACATCCGACATCCTACTACGCTACGCTCTGCGGTGCAATTCGTAATTCCGCAGTCGACGGTACCGTCGTCTTGAAACGTCTCTGTCACGTCCCTGAAAACTGTTTACACGCCGCACTCGATATCCTCGCGGAAATTCGAGATGTTTGCTATCGGTATATGAAACTCGAATGAGAATTAATAAATGGTTGCACATACGTATGTATGTACGTATATTCCAGGCTTAACGCTCTTTGATTTTGACAAGCGAACCCTCGCTCAGTTTTCCAATTCTTCTAAATTCAATTGCTTGTCGAGCTTGGTACTCAAAAATAGTTGTGACAATTAAATCTGACTTCACAAAATCAGTACACTTAAATCTAGTTTTTAGATGCGTAAACTTCACGATTATATAAAAATATTAAGTAATTCGCTAATAACAGAGATTGTACGAGACGGACGGAATCCTTTGCGGCGAACGTATCGGTTTCCCTAAGAGATTAAATTCCAACCGTATATTCGATCAAGCGCGGAAAGTAGTATTCCCTTTTGCATCAGGCTGTTCGGTAATCCGGAATTTTATTTTTTTCTCCTTTCTTTTTTTGGTTCGCCTTTTAGATGAAGATTGGCTCTCGTCTAGCCCGCGCCAAGGCCGGAAATCAAACGATACACTCCGTTTAGCAGCGGAATCGAGAGCGGCAGGGAAAACAGCCGGTTTTGATCAGACAATTGGGTTAAGTAAGTCAAATAGCTGCAAACACTCGGCTCGCGGCGCTACTACATACAGTTAGCAACAACTTCCACCGTGTCTCATTTAATTCTGGAACTAGCTAAGAGATACGCCCTTAACTCTTGAACTGCGGAAGTTAAGAAAATAATTTTCTTTAATTAATAGAATATTATACCTTTACAAATCGGTATAACGGGTAATACGGGGTTGATATTTATTCTCGTTAATTACTGTGTACACATAAATTTTCGTAACTCTAAAATGATTAATAAAGCCTTGTATAAACGAATGTTATGAGAAAGAGATATGTAAGCGCATGTTCGGGTAAGTTCCCTTCTGGTACTCGAAGCGAGTTTAATAAATTTTCTATCAGTTCTAAATAGCCGTGGCTTTGAGCCACGGATTCCAACTTCGTAAACGATATTCGTTAGTTTATGCTGCGGCCACTGGCTTCCCAAAATATTCGTCCGGAACTGCGAATCGAACCTACCAACGCGACGAGTTACTTCATTTCGATGTACCGTTTAACTTAGCTGGCATCAGAAGCCAATAACATTTACCAAATTGCAGCTATAGCCGCTCACAACGATTGGGGGTTGTTTCTCGTCTATAGCAATTGGTATATCGTAACAAGAAATCGACAATTCGCTTTAAGTCGATAGCAAAGTATACATATACGAGAAAAATTCTATAAGATGCTGTGACATTTTTCTATTCTGTAGAAACTATTCAAAGCTTGTTACGTTATATCGAAATTAAACAAAGGTATATTTACTGCTGTATTCAATTCTGTTGACTCCTTAGTAGTCATGGCACAACGAATGCTTAGTAAATAACGTGTTAGAAAAAGATTTCATTAGCCTGAAATTTATAAAAGAAATTTCTTATTGATTTAAGGATGTATAGGCTATACAATATACATATACTTAAACAATGCTGGCATGTTGAATTTGTTATTACAGATT